AATTGCCCAGATTAACCCAAAATACTGCAGGACCCCAAGGATCAGTTTCACTGGTCCGTCTCCTCATTTACACTCCCCAAAAACCTAAACAGGGTTTTCAACCTCAACACTATTGACATTTTGGACTAGATAATTACTTGTCATTGGACACTGTCAGTGTACCGAAAGGAGTTTAGCTGTCCCTGGCCTCTATCTCTTTATGCCAGTAGCACCCACCAGCAGCAACCAGAATGACATCAGTATGTCTCCAGACACCAGCAAATGTCTCCTAGGAGAGAAAATCACCCCTGTTGAGAACACTAACACAAGAGATGTGATCCTGCCACATGGCTTTAAATGCCACCAACACCAGCTCTGTAAGACAACTTTCAGATTCATACCAGCCTCCTGCGCCCTCCCTCAGTCCCTTGTTCATCCATCCAGCTGCCTGGTGGAGATCGCCACTGGCACATTTAATGGCTTCTCAAAGTCATTGTGTCCAAAGCTCAGCTCCTGATCAATGACACCCCCCAGGTCAGCTCCCCACACCAACTCTGTTGCTATGGGCTCCTTTACAGTGACAGCTCCATCAGTCCAGTTGCTCAAGCAAAACACCTTGGAGCATCCTCGTGTTGCTCTATTTCTTTCTTCCTCATCCCATAGCAGATCTATCAGCAGATGCTATTGACTTCAGAACCAACCGGACTGAGCAACTTGTCATCACTGCCATCATGGTCACTTCCACTCGGCTTCCGGCTACCATCTCTGGCTGCAGTAGCTTCAAGAGCCTCCCATGGAGCTCCTACGGGAACCTTTGCCCTCTGTCATAGTCCGGCTCTCTGTTGCTGTGATAAACAAACACCAAAACCAAAAGCAGCTGGGGGAAGAAAATGTTTATTTAGCTTACACTTCCACATCATGGTCCATCATCCAGGGAAGCCAGGGCAGTGGCTCACTCTCTCATGGCTTGCTCAGCCTGCTTTCTTACAAAACCTAAGATCACCAGCCTAAAGGAGACACCGCCCACAGTGGGCTGGGCCCTTCCACATCAGTCATTAACCACGAAGATGCCCCAAAGCCATTCTCACAGGACAATCTGATACAGGCATCCTCCACTGAGGATCTCTCCTCCTAGGTGACTTCTTTGTGTCCGCTTGACAAATACTAGCCAGCATCCCTCCTATAGTCAATTCTCCACGATATATCCAGAACAGACCTTGTGAACACCAGTTGCCCTTGCTCACTCCTGCTCCCCAAGCCCTGCCATCAACTCCCCCAGCTCACTGGCCTCTGAGTCTGACACTCCAAGCTCTACTCAGACATCCTCTCACAGGTCTCCTCCTCTAGGGCTGACTGGCCTGTTCCTTCCCTGGCTGTCCCCCTCCAGCACACCACCTAGCACAACCCCTCACCTCCTGCATGACTCTGCTCACATGCCACCATCTCAGTATGACCATCCTTCAGCTTTTTATAAATAACAACCCCCCAACCCTCCCCATGCCCCGCCCTGATTTATTCCTCCTCACATACTTATCACCATCTGACAGGCTATATATTCCACTTGTTTACTTATTTATCCTCTGCCTCCTTCTGCCAGGACAAGAGCTCCCTGCAGAGTTTTAAGAGGACTCAAACGTTGATGGCCTCTGTCTGGGGTGCAGCCATGTATCCCTAGCAACTGTGGCATTACCTGGCACATAATAGACACTCAATAAACATCCGCTGCCTGAATCTTCACACTACACCATATGGTGGAGATCAGTGTGTCTCCACTTATAAAACAAGAAGACTGAAGCTCTCAGTGGGTATGTCACCCGACCCAGACCCATCAGCTAGAAGGCAATCACCACAGGGGCACGAAACCATCACCCAAGTATCTCTCTCCCAAAGTCTGGTATTGAACTAGATTTTACATGGCCCATAAATCAGCTTTTAATGACACACAAGAATATGAATTGCAGGCTGTCAAGATGGCTCAGTAGGTAAAAGACACTTGCTTTCAAACCTGAGGACCTGAGTTCGATTCCCAGTACCCACATGGTGAAAGGAGAGAACAGACGCCAATAAAATGTCCTCCACCCTCCATGCACACTGGCAAGCTCATGTCCACACATACAGACACACTAAGTAATTAAATTCAGGAAATATATATATTTAACATCAATTGCAAAAACAGTTTGACTCTTAACCTTAACCTCACACATTATCCAAAGTAGACCATGGACGTTGTGAAGCTTTGAAAGAAAATGGCTCCCGAAGGGAATGACACTATTGAGAGGTGTGGCTTTGTTAAAGTGGGTGTGGCTTTGTTGGAGAAAGCGTATCACTGAGGAGGTGGGCTTTGAGGTCTCATATATGCTCAAGCCACACCCAGTGTCACACTCCACTTCCTATGGCCTTCTGATCAAGATGTAGCCAGCACCAAGTCTTCCTGCACACCGTCATGATGACAGTGGACTGAACCTCTGAAAACGTAAGCCACCACAATTAAATGTTTTTCCTTTATAAGATTTGTCGTGATCATGGTGTCTCTCCAGAGCAATAGAAACCCGAACTAAGACAGAAGTAAAGATAAAACTGTTAAACTTTTTGATAGAAAAAAATGGAAAAAGAAATAAGAAAAGATCTCTGGTAGCTAGGGTTAGGCAAGGAACTCTTAAGACTGACTTCCAAAGTCCTGGGAAATTTGAGAAACAGGACTCCATCAGAATCTAAAATATTGGCTCTCAATCCATTCAGTGACAATGAGGGAACACAAGATCCCTGCTGGGAGAAATACCTACAGATTACACATCTGTTAATATATTAATACTGTGTTCTAGATACACCTAGGATCTAGAATGCATACGGGATTCTCAAAACTCAACAGGAAAAAGAGTAATTCTATCAAGAAATGATCAGTGATGAACAGGCTATTCAATGAAGAGCACAGGCAGCCGCATTCACGTGTGGAAAGATGTTCAGCAACACCAGACTTTAAAGAAATGCAAACTAAGACCATGAGAAGGGAGGGAGAGGCCGGAGGGAGGGCTCAGCTGTTAAAAGCAATTGGTGACTCACAACCCTGTAAGTGGGGCTCCAGGGAGAAACCAACACCCTCTTCTGGCCTCCTGCACACGTAAGACACATACACACACACACATACACACACACACACACACACACACACACACACACACACACACACTTGAAAATAAATATTTTTAAAACTGGTATGAAATATTGTTCCTGATGGTCAAAAAACATAAACAGCCAGGTGGTGGTGGCTCACGCCTTTAATCCCAGCACTCCGGAGGCAGAGACAGGCGGATCTCTGTGAATTCCAGGCCAAGCCTGGACTACAGAGCAAGTTCCAGGACAGGCTCCAAAGCTACAAAGAAACCCTATCTCAGAAAGACAAACAAACACAAAAAGCATAAACAACCCAAGTATCTGTCCACTGGTGAATGGACATCTGAAACAGGAGAGAGTTACACAACACAACCGAAAGGAATGCAGTAATGGCAACACACTGTAGCACAAAAAAGGCCAAATGAAAAAGCCACCTGCAAAAGGCTACAATCATACATGTTTCTATAATACACAGTATCTACAAACAGCAAATCAAGAGAGAGGGAAAGTGGATTCTTGTTTGCTTAGGGCTTTAGGATTCGGATGAACTGGGCAACTGTTAAGCGGTGGAAGGGTCCCCAGTTAAAACGATGGTATGTCAATCAGATTGAATAGTTGTTCAACTCCAGAGATACTGAAAGCCTCTAAACTGTATAAAGAATGGCATGTATGAATGCAGATTATATTGCAATAAATCTGTTACCAAAAAAAAAAAATCCAAAAACAGCAATTGCAAAAAGGTTATATACTACATGATGTCATCCTAGAGAGAACAAAATTCTAGAAATGAAAGACAGATCTGTGGTTACCAAGGGGGTGGGGTGGAGAAAGAGAGAAGTGGATGTGGTTACAAAACAGCGATGTGAATTGTCTGTAGGGGATACCGCCTGCTCAGGGTTGCCACTGTAGTGGTGAGCACACAAACCTACACAGGTGTTAAGTCACACAGAACTAAATACACACACAGAGGCACAAACACAGGAAACTGGGGGTCTCTGTTAAGATGCAGGTGGAGCCTATGGATGTCACCTTTTTGTTACCCATTTTTGTTACATTGTATTTATTTATTTTGCAGGTGCACGTGTGGGGTGGCACACAAGCATACCACAGCACACAAATGGAGGTCAGAAGACATCATGTGAGTCTCCACGTCATCAGACTTGGCAGCAAGCACCTCTGTCTGCTAAGCCACCTTGCCAGCCCCAGAGGTCAAACTCTTTTGTAAAATTGCACTATAGTTATACAAAATGTAACTATTGAGGAAAACCTGATAGAAGCTAGAGGACCTCTGTTTTTTCTTACAAGAGCACGTAAGATCTACATTGAGAATCTACATCTTCACCAAGAAAATTCCAAAAACAACAGCACACTGACATCACACAGAACCCTGCTCTCCATCTTCTGATTAGTCTTCCTCTGCAGGAGCATCATGGGTCCTTAGCAACTACTCCTTCACCCTCCTAAACAAGAAAAGCTGACTTTGGGCTCAATGCCAAGCCCAGGGAATCCAGACAAAATCTACCACACACAGTTTTTAATTGATAGTGTTTAAGAAGACAGAATAAGAGTTCTAGCCTCATCTCTGCCACTTACTAGCTGTGTGTTCTTTGTCCAGTCAACTAACACCTCTGCCTCAGTCACCTCATCTGTGAAATGGGTATGACAATAGCACCTATGTCAGAGCATTCTGGTGAGTTTTCTGATTTGTTTTCTTGGTTTGCCTTTTTGCTTTGGTTTTGAATTTTCTTTGTCTCTTTTGTTTTGTTTTGTTTTGCTTTGCTTTGTGACACAAGCTATGGAAAAGTTGCCTCCAGGCTAGAAGACTAGCCTCCAGTCAGAGTCCCTGCCTTGTGGTAAGGTTGAAGTGTATCAGGAGGCTTTGCTACCTCTATGGAACAGGAACAACCCACCTGCACACTTGGTCCGACTGAGCAGTGGTGGCCCCGGGCGGCCTGTGCCTCCATCCCCCGGGCGCGTGAGCAGCACGCTGATCTCATACTCGGTGTCTGGGTCAAGATGCCACAGCTTGTAGGTCTGCAGATTGACAGCGTGCACCTCGGCCCACGGGCCCCGAGCCATGCGGTACTCTATCTCCTTGCGCACGATCGGCCCGTCGCCAATGATGGAGTTGGTGTTGAGCTGGATGATGAGGTAGGTGGGGCCTGCACGCAACAGCTGTGGGGGCGCGATGGGGGTGGGAGGCTCTGCAAGGACATGCAGAAGAGGAGGAGCCTACAGAAGATGCTTCGTGGCCCTGGAACTCCCATAGCTCAGCCACACCCACTCGGAACTCCCAAGCCCAGGCCTGGAGGACTCCAGCACACTTGCTGGGTTAGCAAGTGGTTAGCTGGAAGGTGAAACTAGACATAGCCTCATTCCCTGTGCCCTCCTCCCACAGGGCCAGCCCATCCCTCAGTGACACTGTTTAATTCACAGGTCCATCAGTTCAGGTCACAGCCTGAGCCTAACTCTAACCCCATTCTGCTCCCATGGCGAGAATCTCCCTGTCCTCTCAGGCCACTCAAGCTGCCCACAAACCCTCCAATAACATGTCCTGGGACCCCCCCCCCAACCAAGTCCTCTAAGGAGCTAGAGCTTCAGGCACAACCCTGTGGACTATCCTGCCCCTGCAGGCACAACCCTATCCTATCCTGCCCCTGTAGCTCCAGCCTTCCTCAAGGCCAATCCGCTGACCTTTGACGATGAGCTCTGCAAAGTTGGAGACACCAGCCCCTCGTGGGGCCTGGGACACGCAGCGATACAGATCCTGCTCAGCTCGGCCTACAGAAGCCAGCGGGAAAGTGGCCAGGAAGCGCCGGTGGCTGATGTGCCGCACCCCCGCGGCAGGCAGCAGCACCCCACTCTGCCGCTGAGGGGAAAGAGGGATGGGAGAATCAGGCAGCATTCCAACGGGGGCATCGCGTGGATGAGTCCCTACTATCCCGGGGCATTTGAGGATCCAAGAACCTCCCTCCACGCTGGGGTGAAGGGGATCCAAGCTGGCAGAGCACAGCCTGGGGGGAGGCAAGACACAGTGTATAGATGCTGGGGTATGAAGGAAGGACGCAGAACCCCAAACAGGAGCCAAGCCTAGGAGAGGTGTCCTGCCCTCTAGCACCTTCCTGGGCCATGTCTACGTGGGACGCCCTCACCTGCAGGAAGAAGCGCTCTGCCTCTGCAGCTCTGCCTGCTGCCATGCATTGGAAGGATGCATTCTGGCCCGCATTGACCTCCACATCTCCAAGGCGGGAGAAGTGAGGGGCCTTTGCTGTGGGAAAACAGGCAGAGACCCAGCATGAGCTGGGCCTGCGTGCTCTGCAGGCAGGAGCCAAGGCTACCTTCAGCCTTGTGTTGGAGTGGACAGGGACTCACCGCAAGGGTAGCTGAACAGTAAGATGTCATCTAAGCCTATGTAGCCCTTGTGGTCTGGGGAGATGAGGGCCTCAAACAGCACCTGAGGGAAAGTGGGAAGCCAGTTGTCAGAGTGATATCCCTCCAGCCCAGCTTGGGCCCCAACCCCAGCCCCTCTCCACCAAATGATGCCAACCCAGCTCACACAGACCCTCGCTACCAGGACAGCCGGTTCAGGGATATAGGCAGAGAAAGCAAGGTCAAGTCTAGAAGATCCATTCCAGCTCAGACAGTTCCTCAAAACAGCAGCGTCCTTCTAGTCAGAACTTCCAGCTGGGTACTGTTCCAACTCAACACTGGTCACCCTATTAACAATGACCTCTGACACTCGACCCACACTGACCCCAGACTAACTCCAAACATGACCCCAGACTGACTCATGATGTTGGACTGATATTAATTCCGACCTGGTCTGACCTCAGGGTGGCCTGCCCCTGCCCTTCCCTCCAAGCACAAGTTGACCAACTGACTAAAAACTCAACCCACCTGATATTCATTGGGCCAGAAAGTACTGACGGCCAGCTCAGCCTGGTGCCACTGTCGGCCATGGGATCCAGTCATATTCCACACAGCACTGCCCAGAGGGCCCCCATTCACACGCACATAGACGCCTAGGGTGCCTGGGCTGTGCCCATCCCGGCTATACAGGAAGTAGCTGAACTGCACACAGTGGGTGTCATTTTCGCTCAGGGTCTGAAAAACAATATGGGCCCTCTGGCCTGGAGCATGCTGGGAAGCATTGACCATCAAGTAGGCACCTGGAGAGAGAAAAAGAAGAGGCAAGGCAACCTTAGGGGAGGCCAAGATCACACTGACAGAAATGAAGGACCCACCAGGAATCAAGGGTTTGTGCTCTGATGGGAGTTTTGTGTTCTTATCAGAGCTTTGGTCCCTTGGGGTAGATTCCTCCCCTCCCCAGAGTCTGTTTCCCAAAGAAAAGGGCTAAGACAGTAGAAAACACAAACTCAACCTTTGTCAAAGCCCATATGGCCCCTCACCATCCACAGGTCACCAGTTTCCCAAGCTCTGTGCTGTCCTGGGAGGTAAGGATTAGGTCATTCTTCTCAGGAATCAAGAGCCTGGCACAGGGCAGGTCCCCTGAGGTCACTGCTTCCAAAGCCGCAGACACTTCCCCGTGCTGGGTACTTCCCTCTGGCTCTGATCGTTCATAATGTGTGAGACAGTCTTGCTACCAGGCTGTCATGCCTCAGGCCCTGGCTGTGTCCTCAGACAGGCTCTGAGCCCAAGCTTGATGAATATGTAGGACAGGCTGAATGAAAGGATTAACTTCCCTTCCTGCCCCCACCAGATTCCAACACAAACACCCCAGGTTCCAACCTGAAGAGCCTCCAAGTGTTGTGGAGATGGTGGGGAGTGCCTCAGGACCTGGCTGGGATTGTGGCTTCCCTTGGGGTGTTGGGAGGAAGGGTGCAGCTGCCAAGGAGAGACCCAAAGCCATCGAGCATGGTCTCCTCCCAGGCTTGGCTGACAGCACACTCTGAGCCTGCTCAGTAGTGCTTCCCCAGGGACTCAGCTAGTGTGGATCTCATTCATCTCCCTGAGCCTGGAGCCCTGTGAAGGTGACTGCTGCCTGGGTCCTCGGGCAGCGGTAGGGAATGAATCTCCTGGTCCCTATCTCTACTGGAACCCTAGAAGGGGCACATCCTAGCCAGACACTTCTTAGCCAGCTCCTGTGGACTCTCCTCTCCCCTAAGGTAGTTCCCTGTTCCAATGTGACACCTTCTTGCCTCCTCCTCCTGCTCTGTTTCCTGAAGCACCCTCCACCTTGTCATGCACTCCTCAACTCCCATGGCAGAGCAAGGGGGTGTGGTCAAGACAGGGTTTCTCTGTGTAATAGCTCTAGCTGTCCTGGAATTTGCTTGGTAGACCAGGCTGGCCTCGAACTCACAGAGATCCACCTGCCTCTGCATACTGAGTGCTGAGATTAAAGGTGTGCACCACCACCTCCAGGCCTTAAGCCAGAACTCTTATATCTACATATAGCTCAGTGCCTATTAAGACCTTGGCTGAATGGCTGGGTCTAGGGGTGCACAGAGGTCACCCCTACAGGGTAAGAACCTGTATGCCTCTCTCTCAAATAAGCTAAACAGTAATCATTCTAAAACAGACATATACAAGGATCAAGGATCCCGAAGAGAACACACCCAGAATGACACAGATAGGCAATGACCAGACTGGCAGGGAAGGCCATAGTGGAAGCAGAGTCTACTTCCAGAGCCCAGGCAGCCAGCAAACCAGGCAGGCCTCGAAGGACCTCTAGCCTAAGGCTGCTAGTCCACCCACCACTAAGAGCCACCACTTCCCTGGCCTACTCTTGCCAGCATATGTCATCTTGACCATGCTGTGAGCTGAACAGCCAAGGCCCTGGGCCACCTCTATAATAGGACACAGGGGAGGGAAATTCTGGCTATCTGTTTTAAGGTTCCTTCGCAGACAACACAGGCCTGATCAGTAACGAAGTGGCTCATTTGGCCTCCATCTCTCTTATCCTTTTCTTTTTCCTTTTAAAAAGATTGTGTGTGTGTGTGTGTGTGTGTGTGTGTGTGTGTGTGTGTGTGTGTGTGTGTGTGTGTGTGGGGTTTGTTCTTTGGTGTTTTGGGACAGGATTTCTCTGCATAACAGCCCTGGCTGTCCTGGAACTTTCTTTTTGCCTGCCTCTTCCTCCTGAGTGCTGGGATTAAAGACATGCACCACCGCACCCAGCTAAAAAGATATATATATATTTAATTTTATGTGTTTGGGTGTTTTGCCTACGTATCTGTGTACCACATATGTACAATTCCTGAAGAGGCATCAGAAGGCATTGGATCCCCTGGAACTGGAGCTGGTTGTGAGCTGCCATGTGGTGCTGCGAATTGAACCCACCCAGGTCCTCTGAAAGCGCAGCCAGTGCTCTTAAGCACTGAGCCATCTCTTCAACCTCCCCCCCCCCGACTCCTTTTCTTCTTTTCTTCCCATTTTATTTGGGGGACAGTATCTCACCAAAAAGCCCAGGCTAACCTCAAACTTTTGACCCTCCTGCCCTAGCTTCATGTCTACTCTTAATTCTCCGTTGGCTCTGCGCCCAGTGAGGAGGTCTACTAGTCACCAGGCACTCCCAAATATCCTCACCAATGGCAACTACACAACTGACTCCCTGGGTGCCACCTCTGTGCTCTGTGACATGGGCTACTAGTCTCCCTTGTCACTATCAAGACAACAAAGGCTCAGAGCTGGCTGGATGGTGGGGCCAGGATTTGAACCCATGTCTTTATGATTCTGGAATGAGTGTTCTCAAGGCTAACATCTGAGCAAGAAACCAGTACCAGAATCTACATCTAGCCTCCTGACTCCCGATCCAGTGCTCAAGATGCCCAAAATGCCTGTGCTGAGGTAGGAACAGAGTAAAGTTGAAGTTGAGAGGGACCCAGGGCTCCCAAGAAGAGGGCAGAGGTATATCTAGAGACCCAATACCACTTCTCCTCAGTGTCTTTCAAGTCCCAGAAAGAGCAGGAGGCCCTGAGAGAAAACTAGGGAAGGCCCAGAAGGAGAAAAGTAATAGTGACAGAGAGTAGGCTCACCATGGGGCAGGTCTGCAGGGGTCCGGGTGCCAGGGTGGATCCGCACTTGCTCCCACTGGAAGTCATCATACTGAGCCTGGCTGTACTCGCAGGGCACAACTGGGTCACTCACCTCCTCAAAAGTGCAGCCAGCTGTAAGGGCAAGGCCTGATTAGTTAGGCCCAGGCAAGGCCACTCACTCCAACACAGCCCTTCAGGTTCCCCCTCGGTCCCCTCCTTCTATCCAGGCCACCCTCTCCCCTCCTCATCATGGCTCCCTCCAACTAACCAAGTTCTCCCTCCTGCGCCCCCAAATCCTCTCCTCACTGCCCCTTACCAATACCAAGACTTTCCACTGCCCACTCCCCCACCACATCCCAGGGTCTCCAACAGCTCAGTCATCCAACAAGACCCTTCTCAATAAAACCAGCCATTGTTGTTGTAAGCATAGAGCCAAATCAACCTACACTCTCCCATTTTACTGGATGGGAAATGGGGGCCCAGCATAGCATGATGATAAGCACCAAATGTACAATGTCACCACCTGTCAGGTGACATGATAGACACCAAGGGAGTTCAGTCACTGCCCAAAGTCAATCAACTTAGATCTCTGTTCCCAGGGATGTGACATAGTATGGTCCTGTGTAGACTGAACACATATGTGACAGAGTATGTTAATTCTGGTGACTGGAGACCGAGATTAATAATCTGAAAGACAGTGAGTGAAGAATCCTCTGTTGCATGTGAATTCCTCAGTTGGTGGTGAGGTCCACTGTATCTCAGCTGGTTCATCAGCACCTGGAGTTGGTACCAAATAAACCCAAGCCTCACTGGCTCGGGAGGGAATTTGAGTCCCCAGCCATCATGTCTGCAGCCCCAGCAAACTGAACAGTGTTGAGAGAACTGGCAAGAAATCAAGCCAGGCCTGTGCCGCCTGCCTGTCAGACCCATTTGACAGACGAGGTGACCAAGGCTCTGAAAAGCAATGGCATTTGCCCACGGTACCGTGGAGTAGCTCAGTGGTGGACACTGGAGACTGGGGATAGACTTAGGACTGAATGTTGACTTTGCCATTTGCCGTCCCTAGCAACTTTGGGCAAGTTGCTTCCTCTTTCTGAGCCTCAGTTTCCCCACCCACACATGGAATTGCTGAAGATCTACAACATCAACACATGTGAGCCCTCTGGAAACACCAGCGTAGGCGTGCCACTGGTTCCGGTAGGAGGAGAAGGAACCAGATTTGAATCTGTGCCCATCCAAAGTCCACACTCCCCAGACACATGAGAAGAGGCAGAATGAGCTTATTCTGGGTCGGGCAGACAATAAGCCAGCAGGTGAGTGGCACAGGTGGGGCAGGCAACCAGTGGCTTCCCTTTGAGGACTCACTTGTGTATCACTCATTTGCGGTTTCTGCCGGCCCTATAAGATGGCACATGAAAACACACAGGCAGAGCTGGGTGTGACTGGGCTCGTCGTTGGGGGCGGGGTCTCTATCTCCTTGAACCCCACCAGAGAATGGGGGAAAAATGAGATGTGCATGAGCCAGCACTAAGCAGACTGGTGCAGGGAAGTCCTGGTAGGGGCACCCAGGGTGCTTTCTGCCTCTTTGTTTGAAAAGCTCCAGTCAGCGCTGTGCCCTCGGGCATGAGATAAGTGAGTTTTAATGTCATCTGTGTTGGGAGGGCCCAGCTCTCCCCTTGAAAAAAGTCCACTGTGCAAGCAGCACAAAGAGAAAGGGTGGCCAGTGAATGGTCTTCTTAGAGGAAGGGAGCACTCACTTCTTGCCCTTGGGGTCCCAGCCAATCACTGGGGCAGACTATAGGAAAAAATATGACTTAGATCCCAGGCTGGTTCCTTCACAAAGGCAAAGTAGCTGCCCTGGGCCTCTCCTCCAGGGCCCTGGCAGGCCTGAGGTAGCCAGCCCTGTGGTTTCTTTCCATCAGTCCTGAGCCAGGCACATGACCAGACAGTGCTCCTACCCCACCCAGAGCTTGCTGACTTCAGACTAACAGCCAGACTGGAGTCTCAGACCACAATTACATGATTCCTCCAAGTGACTGACCCCACACCCAGGCCGACCTTAGCTAGAGTGCCTGGCCAGAGTGACCCCAGTCTTATCCATATGACACTCCCTAAATGTTAGTCAAATAGCCACCAGGCTCTCTGACTCCTGCCCTCTCTATGTAACCAGTCAGGCTGACTGATTCCATCCAGGGTGACCTCTTAGCCAGAGTGACCATTCTCACAAATCTCTAGTCAACCCCAGCCCCGGTCTAGTCCAGGTCCAGTACAACTCTTAAGAGAATACCTCCTCCCCAGCTCTCCCAGGGATAGGAACAGCCAGTTCCTCCTGCCAGGGCTCCAGCACCACCACAAGGGGGCACCAATTGCCATCATGCCTACCCTGACTGCTATGACCAACCTGCATGTGAAACTCATATAGAAAGCAGCCCTGATGTTATTCTTGTCGTACAGATGGACAGTGTGTGAGTGTGTGCCTCTCAGAGACAAGCAGGGGCCACACAGAAGCAATGTGCAGAAGACACAAATTAGACAGCCTGTCTTTATCCAAGGAGAGTAGGCACAGACAAAATAAGACCCCGACAGGGTTTCACACACAAGACATGTTTCCCCTGTCAATGCAGTGCGGGATGCCCTGTGATGGGCACTATGAGAGGCACAAGAATGATAAGGAGAGGGGTGGAGCTTTGTCTAGCATGTGTGAGGCCCTAGGTTTGATCCCCAACATGGGGAGGGGTGACAGGGAGAAAAAGAAGTTCTATCTTGCTTTGGGGGGCTTCCCACCTGAGCAAACATGAGGAAATGAAAGCTAAAAAGGGCCAAGGTTATAAGGTGGGGAAATGGTACACAAAGAAAAGGGGTGTCGGCCCAAGGAAGCTATGTGGGAGCTGAGCCTAGAACCATAGGCATCAAGGGAGGAAGAAAGGTAACCCGTTTGTCCCCTGCACAGGGAGGAGCGCAGGCTGGCTGACATGATGGGAAACCAGAGACTGAGGCCACCTCTTAAAAAGCCTTGGGTGCCAGGGTAAGGAGTTGAACCTGGCTTTTAACTGGGGAGCCACAGGAGGTGGAAAGGGGAATGCCCAGATTCTCGTGGTTCAAGCAGGTGTCTTTTCCAGAGTATAACGGGGTCAGGAGGGAACTCGGGACCAAGCTATCAAATGGTCTGGAGCTTAGTGTCAGATTGGCAAGGAGATCTGAAGTCTCATCCTGAATACAAACAGCACACACTCCACTCAAAAAAGTGTGTACATGTTATGTGTACGGACGGACGGACGGACGGACGGACGGACGGACGGACGGACGGACACACACACACACACACACACACACACACACACACACTCGCTTTCCCCAGCCCAATTCAAGTCCCTGAGGCACACTCTACATTAGGCTGGCGACAGGGAGCGAAGACAAGGCCCCTCTTTGGGTACCTCATCTCTGTAGAGAGCTCTCAGAGAGGATGGGTTGAATCAATGCAGGACCCCATGGCTCCCCCAGCCTCAGCTCCAACTGGCCCAGCCACATTCCTCCGCTAATCTCCCCAATCTGGCCAGGCGGTTGCCTGAGCAACCGTCAACCACAATTTGGGAAGAAGGGGGATGGCTTATCCACATCCGGCATGCTCTGGGCCTGATGATGTCAGGGACAAGCAAACTCTGGAGGGGCCTGGGAGGGGTGCCCCCAGGGGTCTCCCTCACCATGCCTCCCTCCACCTCCCCTCTTTACACACACACACATACACACACACACACACCTAGCTGTGAGCCTGGTATTAAAAAAACACTTGACTACAGAACAGGGAATCTGCATCTCAGTCCTGCTGTGCCCCTGAGTGCCTTCATGACTTGGGGCATGTGACTTTCCTTCTCTGACCACAGTCAGGATGACCTCTCAGACTAACCATCCAACCAGGGTGACCTCTTAGACAGCATGACCCTTGTCACTGATCTCTGGCTAGCCCTAACCCCGGGTCTCTAGGCCAGGCCCAGTTCAGCTCCTCAACTATGAAACAGGAGCAGGGGTTACGACTCTGATTTCATTTGTGTTAAGTTTACAAATGTCAGGGGTGGTGGTACACTCCATTGATGTCAGTACTTGAGAGATGGAAGAATAGGTGTGAGGATCAGGAATTTGTGATCATCCTCAGCTACATAAATGAGTTTCCAGGCTAGGCTGGGTTACACGAGACCCTAGCTCAAATAAATCAATAGTAATAGTAATAACAATACGAACAATAACTGGTATCCTCGGAGGTGTCCTGGGGAAAGGTGTGTGGGCATGCGCGTTTGCCAGCATAGGGCTCTCAGAAATAAAGCTGGTTCGTGGAACATACCTATGAGCAGGAAATACATAGGTGCATTCTATAGTGGGCATACGCCTGGAGGAGGTGGGTATTTGTATGAGGGAGGAAGAAGTGTGTGCGCGTTAGCTGGTGAATGTTTGTGTGCATGTGTGATGCGCCAGCCTGTCCTCTAGCCAGGGCAGACAAGGCGTGTGCTCTAGGCCTACTGCACCTGCAGCCATGTGTTTTCTGAAGACCCTGCGTAAACAGAGCTTGTTTGCAGTGAGATTTTCATTCTCTGTTTTGTCAACAAAACGGCCAGTTCCCAAGGGTAGCCCCAGAGGAAACAAACCTTCTCTAGACAGACATAAATTAACAGTCTGGGACCTCACACTTCCCAGGCACAACCCAACCATAGCCTAGGGACCCAATAGACAACCCCAACAACAATGCCAGCCTTGTCCACCATTGCTCCCTCTCCTAAGTTACTGAACTTACCCCTGGACATTCTTGCCCCACTCTGCCCTGCTTTGCTCTCACCTCCTCCCTTCCTGAAGTCAGGGATAGCTCTGCTGCCTTTGAACTCTATCCCCAAGGTCTGTATAAAGCAGATGGCCAACTGTGCCCAGACTTCCTAACACCAAGATCCCAACTAACCTCAACCAGTTGCACTAAGACAAAGATATGACTGTAGCGTAGCCCTAGGCTAACACATCCAAGTGGAGGTCAGGTATTCCATAACTGACTACCAGAACCCTGAGGAACTGATAAGAAGCACAGTAGGGCTGGCAGTAAAAAAATACTCATATAACCACACAGAGTTAAGCAACCAGGGATGACCACAGAC